AACCAAGGTTCTGCAGAATGGATACGTTTGGGATTTATTTCATACAGAAGCTTCTTAAATCAGTAAAGAAGAACAGAGAACGCAGATTCTCATCATGTTGACTGCAAAACGTGGACTACTTGTCAAACTATCTGATGGAAATTTTTAATTTTTTCTTAAATTATTAGTTTAAGAAGAACTAATATAATTTTTCCTTAAACCTATAGGCCCAAATGTAGGTAAAAGATTTACTCACACCAAATCAGCCCATCGACAAACACCTTAACGCCTTTGAACTCGAGACCCGGACTTGGTCCATTTCTCCAGCCACCGGAGACGTTCCACACCTCTCTTGATTAGGTGTCCGTATGGTGGCAACAGGATCGACCCTTTATGTCTTTGGAGGCCGAGACGCTTCATGCCAATACAACGGTTTCTACTCAGACACGACCCCAAACGAGAGGAAACTCCTATCTCCGGTCGAAGAAGGACCCACTCCTCGTAGTTTCCACTCGATGACAGCCGATGAGGAAAACGTTTACGTTTTCGGTGGAGTGAGTTTTACGGCCCGGTTAAGACACTAGACTCTTACAACATCGTTGAAAAGAAGTGGTTTAGTATAGTGGTTTGTACTTAGTTGTATTTATTGAATATTCATAAAAGTTCGGATTTATAGTTGGGTGATGTTTAAATATACCCCGTGTTCAAAAAATCGCTAGGCGCTAGTCGGGCGGTGAGGGTGCGCCTAGCGCCTAGCAAAAAAATCAGGGATTACACGAGGATTAATCGGGGATTAGTTTTAGGGCTATTTAATATTTTAAAAACATATTAATCCATTAAAATTAAGTAATTTATATAATATTGTTTTTAAAATTGTATTAAACACATGAAAACAAGATTTTAATTTCAAATTTATGATTTTTATACAAATTACGAACATAAGTAGGACGTTTTGAATTTTAGATGAAAAAAAAAAAAAAAAAAAAAAAAAAATTGGGCTAGGCGGGCTAGGCGGCCGCCTAGGCGGTCCAGGCGGGCAAAAAATCGGATCTCCGATTTTTCTCACCGATTTGGACAAAATCGCCGCGGTGCTCCTCCGATCAGCGCCTAGGCGGCCAATTTTTAGAACAGGGAATATACCCCATAATTTCTTAAGTTTATAAAATTAAATTTTAAACCATTTTAAATTTCTTGAAAAAATGTGATACTAACGTTGACGATAATCATAAATCTATCATCGATCCAGGCCCATGCCTAATGCCTATTCAACAGCAAAAGAAACAATGACCTACGGAACTTGATTTCACATAAAAACTAAGGGGCATATTTACAAATATCTTTACTTTACGTGTTCAAGATGTTTTTTCTTAACTTCAAATTTCTACCGAAAACTCATAGTTAAACCATATTTCTTCTAAAATTCATGAAGAAAAAAAAATCATTTTGTTTGTCCACACATTGGTTTTTCTTTATTTACACCACAACGATTCTTATTTTTAACAATTATTTTTTTGTTAGTCGATTTATCTAAATTATTTTCTTTATTTGTTTTACTAATTTTACAGTTTTAAATGTACATAACGGTTTTAAACAAAATACTGCATTTCGTATATAGTAGTTATATATATACTAGTCACAATTTATATTTGTTAATTCTCTAGCATTTTTTATCCATTTATCTATAAATCTTTTGCTGAATTAATTTAGGGTTTATTTTGCATTATAAAATATTTAAACATTAAACTACTTTTTATTTATCTTATGGCTTTAAAATTTCTTGGCACGGTTCTGCACCGATCACCCAACCTTTGACGTTTCCACTCTTGTATTACCTAGGCAACTATGAGACAAAGTGTTTGATCAGAAGATGCCGTTATGATTTTTTACCTAAACATGTAAGAATAATATTCTTTTATTCTATCTATCAAACAGTTTCAAGATGTCATTATGATTTTGTAATGATATATATCGAAGATGGATGTTTGTTCATCGTGTTGTCGGATATAAATATACTAGCTAGCTAATATAATTCGGATGGATTGGATATATCGGGATTTGTAAATCAAAAAGGCAAAATAGAGGGAAGCTTCTTTTCTTTTGGGTAGTGAAACTAAATGATTCTAAAAAATTAAGAAAAAGTCTTAACTTTGCCGCTCCAGCTTCAGGGTGGATCAAATGTAACTTTGATAGTGGATTTATTCAATGCTTTGTTCACAAATACATGTTGGAGAGTTTGGTCATATATATAATGGGAGAATAACTTATATATGGGGACTAATAACTAGAATAACTCATATCTTTTAATAATAACTAGAGTGTTTTCGTTTTTTTTTTAATCTCCAAAATACCCTTTAAAGCTTCGTAAAGAAAAATGAGAAAAAACCCAAAAAAATCCTGGTTTATTTTTTATTTGGACGTTTAATACCCAAATTTTTTTGGTTGGAAGAAAAAACACATAATAATTGAAATATACGATTTAATACCTATAAAAATAAAATGTTGTTATTTTCATACTTACAGTTTTATAACAAAAATAAAATCCAAATTTTATCTTTACAATTAGAATAAATCATTAATTTTAAATGATGTGGCAATAACTTTTAATTTTATTAGAGTAAAAAATCATTTATATTTATATTTCGTTTTACTAAAATTATTTTCTTTATAAATTTCAAATGAAAAAATCTAAATAAATGAAATAAAAAATGTCGAAAAAGAAAAAATAGGAAGAAGAATAGAGAATCGAATAAGAAGTCGACTGAGTAGTATGGAACTTCATCAATTGGCTTTATTGTCCCAGAGAATCAAAGAAGAAGAAGAGAGACATAACTTATGGAACTTCATCCATTAGGTTTGTTTTATTGGCGAATTATAAGCGATAGAAGATTGTTTTTCTTTGTAAGAAGGTGAGCAATAATCATTAACCATATGCGTTTCCAAATTGTGTTTGTTATTCTTGGTGACATGTTTGTTCGGTCTCCAACCAAAACCCAAAAAATCAATTCACTATCCAATTAAATTCAAGAAATTAAAATTACAAAAATTGAAAAAGACACAACAAAACCAAGCAGTCGATTTGAAATCAACATCCAAAAATCAATTTGAAACCCATAAACCGATTTGATCTTTTAGCAAAAATCGATTAAGAACTCAATTTGATATCAAACCTAGAAATTTTGGTGTTATTAGAGAAGATATAAAGCTAGTAATTCGAAAATAAATAAAATAAATCCTGTTATGAATATAAATCAACCAAAAGAAAAACACATAAATCATTGCTATTGAAATTGATTTGAAGAACTTGACGATTTGAAATCGGAAAAAACAAAGGCATAGGACCAACCGGTCAATTTTCTCTATTTTTAGTCAAATCTCTTTCTTTTTCAGATTTGATTTTTTTTTAATTTATAAATAAAATAATTTTAATAAAACGAAATATAAATATAAATTATTTTTATTCAAATAAAACTAAAATTATTGTCACATCATTTAAAATTAATGATATATTCTAATTGTAAGGGTAAAATTGGAATTTTATTTTTTGTTATGAAACCGTAAGTATAAAAATAACAACGTTTTATTGTTATAGGTATTAAATCGTATATTTTAATTATTATGTGTTTTTTCTTCCAACCAAAAATATTTGTGTATTAAACGTCAAAATAAAAAATAAACCAGAGTTTTTTCGGGTTTTTTCCCAAAGAAAAATCATAATAACAAAAATGCCATTAAAAAAAATGCCAGCGAGACAAAAGTTTCTGTTATTTACAAAAAAACCTGTCATTATTTACAGTTTTACCACTGATCTCTTCGAATTCAAATAAATCTGTAGAACAAATCTACCACATATTTTAAAAATCTGCCACTAATTTATAAATCTGCCACATATTTAATTATATAGTTATCGCTGACTTGTTTTCTTGCAGGTTAGTTTTTGAACCACAGATTTGTTCTCCAGATTTATTTCTACCACAGATTTAATCTACAGATTTGTTCATAAGGTACTACCAATTTATAGGTTGTCACAGATTTTATGTCTACCACAGATTTATCTTACAGTTTTTATTTATAACACCGCAGATTTTCCTTGTCTCGCAGATTTATTTCTGTAGATTTGTTTTTCTTACAGACTTATTCTCAATTACGTTGCAGCAGACTTATTAATAGTTATTACCGATTTATGCTAAGCCTGTAAGTTACTGCAGATTTTGTTGACCAAAAGATAATTACTAGATTGACTCTAGTGGTCACAGATTTTTACTCTTTGATGGCAGATATATTATGTGTCACATAATTATTTTCCATCATCGCAGATATATTTGACGAAGTGGTCGCAAACTTAATAATGACTAAACTAACTTTTTAGTAGCACATATTTATATCTTACAGACTTATTGATACATTTTGCTTGCAGATTTATATTCACAGATTTATTTAAAGACACTACATATTTGTTTACTAGTATCTAAGATAGAGAATTCTGGACTGTCCGATTTAGGGTGTGACTCATTAATAGTTGACCAAATTTTTACATTATCTTCTAAAGTTTCAATTTAGATAAATTTGTAGTAACATAAGAATAAGTCTGCAGTAACATAATAAAAAATCTGCAATAACATAATATTTTTACAATAATACTGCAAAGCCATGAGCTCTTGATATAAATGTAAAATAGATTGTTGTATGTTTTGGTTATATTATTTTACCGGATAAAATATAAGTTTATTGAATTGACTATTAGTTTTTTTGAAGACATGTTGTTAAGGCTCTCTACCTTAGGGTGGATCTAACCGAGTTTCTTTTACCACAAACGAATGTTGACTTGTAATATTTATATACTCGCCTAAGGCTTTAAATTGTTAATTGCTTTGTACTTACATTTTTAGTAATCTTGTTCAATTTAGATTTAGCCACTTAATATTTTTTCTCCTTAAACTCTCATATCTTTCTCCAATACACACTACAACATATTTATATTTTTTTCATCCAAAATTTAATTACTTTGTATTAAAACAAAACAAGACCCACATATTGGCTTAAATTACTTAATAGTCCATATTCTTTTTGTAGGTCATTACAAATTTAATCACAACATAAGCTCACACAAACTCTTATGTAAAGATGAAATATTACACCACAATCATGACCAAAAGTACACACAACCATGTTTTTGAAGTTTCTTAGCTCTTGTATCTCTTCCTCGTATAATTTGACTTCGACATTGAGCTCTCCAATCTGAATCTTGTGCTTTGATGACTAACAATAAATCTGCAATCAAAACAATACAAGTTATACAACCAACAAACAGATGCAATGAGCAACAAATAAATCTACAAACACTTACAAACAAATTTGCGAAGCAACAAATAAATCTGGCATCAAACAACAAACAAATCTAAGAAAGCTAACGCTCAAACCTTAATCTAAGTTAATTGCGCTAATTATGTAACAAAACCTGCAACTTAGAACAAGACACCTACAATTTATCAAACATAAATCTGCAAATTCATTAATCAAACAAGTCTGCGATGAGCAATAAATAAATCTGTGAATACTAAAAACAAAAATCTGCCATCAAACGACAAACAAATCTGCCACGAATAGAGATTAGGGTTTTAAAACGTTGTATACCATCGTCACCGCCACCGCCTTCTTCTCCATCCTCGAGCATCAAAACCAGAGCAACAAATAAATATGCAAACACCAACAAACAAATCTGCAATGAATAACAAATAAATCTGTGATAACTAAAAAATAACTCTGTCGTCAAGACTGGCATTTCATCGAACACCTTTCATGCAACATGTTTTTTGCAACTTGATTTATAAAAAAAAACATAAATCGAAGGCAACCCTCGACGTAGCTGCTGTTGCTGACAAAATCCGGTGTACCTGCTCGCGACTAAGCCTAAGAAGATGAAATAGAAGCAGCAGAGAAGAGAGAAGAGACGATCTCAATAGAGGAGCTAAGAAGAAGTAGCCGAGAGGAGAAGACAGAAGAAGGAAAAGCGACGGAGAAGAAAGAAACCACACCGGAGAGGTAGCGTTGCGTCGCCGGAGAAGCATCGTCGAAATTCTCGCCGGAGAAGAAGAATAAAAAAAATTTATTATCTCTGATTTTTTTTCCGACGACGGAGGAAACGAGGGGGGGGGGAACTAAAAAGTTTTTAGGTTTAATGTTTGGGTTTTTATGATTAAATGAAAAACCAAAAAAAAATTTATTTTTCAAAATTAAAGCAAAATGGCAATTCGGTTAATATCTCATAAAATCAGGTTAGAATATCTTTTTACAAAAGATGTAGGTCATTTTAGTTATCCCTTTCTAAACAGAGTCAATCTAGTTATTAACTCTTTTAGATTTATTAACCGATTTGCCATTTTACTTTAATTTTGAAAAATAAATTTCTTCTCCGGCGAGAATTTCAGAGATAATACTTTTTTAAGATTGATTTTCCAATGAATTTTATTAGAGGTTTTCTTATAATGGGAAAAAGAAAATCAGGAAAACTATTAATTTTTATTTTTTTTACTTTTAAAGTCAGGTTTACGTGGCTTTAGAAAAAATTGAATTCAAAGAGTAAAAAAAAAAGAAATACTTTGAAAGCCTTAAAACTATTTAAAACCAAAAAAATTTGATTGATAAAATAAAAACTTTAAAAATTTTAAAACTTTTCTAAAGACCCCTAAATTACGTCTACACAGTTTTGGTTTCCTAAGAATTTGTGACAGAAAGAATGATTTTATTTTAATAATTAAAATAATTGTAAAAGTGGGGATAAGAGAAAATGGAATAATGCTTTGAGCAGAGAGAGCGAGGATGCTAGAGAACGAGAATCTTTCTTCGCCGATCCACCTTGTCTTCTCTTAGCTCATCGAATCTCTCCGTCGCCGTCGATTCGTCCCGCCGGTGAATTTTTTTCAATCTCTGCCTTTTTTGTTTTCTTCAATTGATCGTTCTATTTAGGGTTTCGACCACAATTTGGGGCTTCTTTAATCAAAAGGAATTTATTTTGATTTTGAGGGTTTTAATTGGTTTGAACTAAGCTCTAGTTTGTGAAAGTGTTGTTAGTTCGTCGGGGAAATCAATCTCTGATGCCCATTGAAAATTCCTTTTTTGTGTTCTTCTTCAACAATGTTTTAGTATCATTTTCGTAAATGTTTCAATTTCTTCATAGATAGTTGTTATTATTGCCAGATTATGTTTATAAAAGAATATGGAATTTCTGGCTATTTCGTAAATGTTTGAGATGGCATCTGTAATACTTAGTTTACAACAAGTAGATATGCTGGAGGAATTCAAAATCAATTAATTTGACATTGTAGAATCCTTAGGAACTGCAATCTCACGACTCACAGGAGACTTACCTGCATATCTTGGAAATATTGCCTCCTTAAAGCTCTTGTTAGTATATTTTCAAGTATTATCAATCACTACTAGAATAAAATCAAAACTAAGCTAACTTTGTAATAATCTTCTTACAGAGATCTTAGCTTCAATAAATTAAGTGATGGCAAATCAATGGAACAGAGGCTGGGGTGATTTAAGTTTTATTTCGTAATAAATTTACGAACCATTATAGATTTGGTTATTTTTTTCATGAATGTTGTTGGGATAAAATTCTCATCGGCCCCCTCTCCTCAAATCATTCTCTAGTTAGCCCCCCCAAATAAAAAACTTGTGTTAAATTAATTATTTTAATTTTGGAAAAGAGTAAAAGACAAATAAAATTTGGGTTTTCAACTTATTTACTGACCCAACCTCAATTTGGATCTAGATCCACATATATTGGGTCAGATTTTGGATCATTTAACCCCAAAAATCTCAAAAACGTAAAGTCCCAAAATCAAATCCCTAACTCTAATTTTTTTTCCCCTTTTCTCTCAAAAAAAATGACTAATCGCCGTTCATCTCTCCGTCGTTCTTCTCTCGTCGCCGGCAAACCTTCTTTTCTTCCCTCTTCTCTCCGAATCGAAACCTTCATTCTTCTTCTCGTTGGAAATTCTTTGTTAGAAATCCAATCCAAATCCACGTTCCTTCGTCTCCTTTCTTGTAAGCTATAAATTCTTCATTCTCATTCTTTCTTTTGTTTGATTTCGATGGATTTTGTTGGGTTTTGTTTGTGAAACGGATGATTTTCGGATTTGAATTTGTTGTAATTTTCTGATTGAATTTGTCCCAATTTTTGATTTGAATTTCTCTCTATTTTCGGATTTGAATTACTTTAGATAGATTCAAAAGGATTCCGATTCAAAATGTGTTTCGGATTTGAAATTTGTTGAAAACCCAAACTTTATCTCTTATAATTATGTAGATGGATAATGAGATTATGTGAGTTTGTGTTTGGATTGCTCGTTTATTGTCTTGGTTTAGACAATGAGAGTTTCATAGTGACCAAAAACCATCCGTATTATTTAGGTAGAATTTAAGATTGCTTTTGAATGTTTGATATTGAAGAAAGAGAAGGAGAAGGAAAAAGAGAAGGAGATGGAGCAAGAGCAGGCGAAGCACATGGAGCAAGAGAAGAGTTCAGCTCCTATTTTGGTCTCTGATGATGATTTTCGCTTGTATTCTGGTCTTTGATGTTGATGTATAAATTTAAGTGTTTAGGTACAACTGGTACGATTAGGTACAACTATGTTTCTGGGTTTATGTTTTTTGATTATGATGAATCTTTGAATTTGAATCCAATTATGTATGAATCTTTTAATCTGAATCTTAAATTTTTATGTATCAATCTATGTATGGAATATAATCTAAGCGTTTTGAACCAAAAAAAAAAAATCTAAATTAATCAAAAAATCTGACAAATATGTAGGTTTGTAAGAGTTTTGGAAAAAAATTAAAAAAAAACAGTGAAATATCTAAAAATATTTGGAAATATCTAAATATCTAAAAAATTCTGACAAATGGCATACCTGGCACCGTCATTTTGAAAAATATTATTAAATAATAGCATAGATTTGTTCATAGTTGTACAGTTGTACTCGGTTGCACATTTTTGCTCATAGTTGTACAATACAAAGATTTTAGTAAATCTAGTTGTTATCAACTCTAATTTAATTTTTGTTGGTGGAACCGAATGTATTGCCTCATAAAAATACCATTACTTTGTATCTGTGCATTTGTATTTATCAAAATACAAGTACTTCAAAAATTTATAAAATTTTAGTTCAAATCTACAAAGTAACCATGAAAGTATAAGGTTGTTAGTGTATGAATGTGGGATTTTGAATAAGAATTTCAGTATTTTAAAAAATATGAAATTTTTTGTTAAAAACTTGTTGTGTAATTTCATTACCATCGTGTATGCCTTTTTAAGTTTTTTTTAATTTGGTTTTAAATTTTCATATTATATAAAATTCTGAAAATTGGCCAAGGCATTAGACCTTAGTTGTACATGTGGTACTTAGTTGTACCAAAATTGACAAAATTTGCACAGATACGAGAAAGAAATAAACTATAGTTGTACTTGCTAAAACTTAGTTATACAACACAGAACATATAAGTTTCACAAACAAAACCAATACAAACAACATCGTTTCTTAAATTTACCTAATAAATAGCACTGAGAAATCAACCTTGGTCACCCGCATCGTCTCCATCAACGTCACCATCATTGGTAAACCACTCGCCCAAACCGCTCGATCCATGCAACCTCTTCTTACGTCCTCTTCCTCTATGTTCTCCAACGGAGAGGAATCTTGTTTCTTGTCTTCTTCCTTGTTTTACCTCATAATCTGGAGGATAGGCAAACAGTTCCATTATCTCCTCAGGAAGAACCCATTGACTATTATGGGGAACCGGATAGTCCCCTTTTCGATTTATTCATAAGAAAAGAATGCACTTCTTCATCTTCTGCATTAGAAATCCAATGTACATCTTCTCCGATACTTGTATAGTATCCGTCATAAGCAAAGCGTATGACTGAATTCCTTTTCATTGTCCCTGAAAAAGAAAGAGAGAAAAAACGGTCTATAATTTCATAACTTCCGTAGCAGACCATCAACATAGTTGTACACATTTGTCCCAGTTGCACCAAATTTAGGGTTTCCGTAAATATTCTACTTAGTTGTACTCAGTGGTTCCAGTTGTCCTAAATCTGCAATCCTAAAATATTTCAACAAATCTGCAATCGTAAAAGGTGAGATATTTAGTAGGTTTGTTTTTTAATGAGAGAAGAGAGAGAAAATTTTTGATTGGTTGAATAAAAAATGTGTTGGTATTAAATTAAATGTACAATTAAAGGGATAAGAGGTATAATTGGTTTATGAGAAAATTGGGAAGGAGAAGGGGTAGTGAGAATAAAGAGGGGTTTTCCAAAAATTGATTTCCCCCAAAGGGGGTGGAGATATTTAAATCCATGTTGTTGGCATTTATGAAATTTGCAGGATGGTTGTTTCATGATAAGGAGAGGAACTAATGAATGTAGAATTGTAGATGAACTAGTGGACTTGTTCGAATGATCTTCCGGTTGCGTCGGTTTAAGATCAAAGATGAAAATGTTGCATCGGTTTTTTAATATCGAAGATGAAAAGTTGTTTGTAAGATAGTATATGTTATGGTTGTTGTTTGCAGTAAAAGAATCCGGTGACTGGAAATTGGAAAATGAAGCAGTTATTGATTTTTGGAAAGTCTTCTCTTGATATGATAATTCTGTGTTAGCGAAAATCTATTTATAGAGGCCTCTTGGCCTTAGGTTGGATACAAATTCGACAATAGCTTTGTGATCAAGCCAGATTTGTTAGATATTATTAACCAACATTTACATAATAAGAAATCCGAAATAAATGCCAAGATATCTTCGAAAATTATAAGAATTGAATATATGATATTTAAAGAATATGCTTTAGTTTTTTATTTAAAAATCAGTTGTTATGATTGAATGTCGATTTGATATGGTTCATTTTATTTAGGAAACAAATGTTAATGAGCTAAAAATCATTACCATTTAAATAGGAAACAATTTAATTATAGAATATTGGTTTGTTTAAAAGATATATACGGCTGATATTTTCCTAAACTAAAACTAATAATGTTGTGGTTGATAATTGTATAATTCTAGGAAACATTTTGTATTTAGGATCAATTTGTTATACGGATTCAAGATGAAATCATTTATCTCGCCTTTTAATAGGAAACATTTTGTATTTAGGATCAATTTGTTATAAATTGTTATAACTATATATATTCTGTGTATCCTTAAATCTTCCAAATATGAGAAACTAAATGCTTACTATCTTGAATGTAGGGAGTATCTATTAAGGAAGGTTCCCATTGAGAGAATACGGGTCAAAATCACAAATAAAGTATGATCCAAAAGATTTATTTCCGAGTCAAAATAAAAAAATTCCGGGTACTTCAAAAATGTTAAATAGACTAGGATTAGACCCGCGGTCCACCGCGGGGGAATGTTTATTTGCCTACGTGTAGTTTAATTCGGGATTTATACTATAAATATTCATAAATCGTGAAATACTAAAATGATTTACCAATAAAATTAGTCGTATAAAATATTATTTAATCACTATATAAATATCGTAATTGTTGGGAAATAAATTGTATGCACCATAGACTAAATTTGATTTGCTCATCTAACCACATACAATTTTTAATTGTGTAGTTTTGTGATTCCAATCTAGTTTGGAGAGTGATGATATTTGGTTTTGGATGAATTAGGTGTAGATATATTTTTTTTAAAGAAAATTATCGACCGACTGTATATATGTATGTACGCTCCTATGATTTCAACGGCCTTAGTGTATAAATTATACAAAGTTCATCAAAGTCCAAAGATGAAGGATATTATCTCCTAGACCCGTTAAAAGATCCGACTAAAAGGATCCGAATTTAAAATTTCGGGTCAACTTAGAAGAATTTGCACTGACCCGTCTAATCTTTTTTTGGTAAATATTAAACCTAAATTACTTTATAATGAGCCTTATTCTCTTTAACTACATTATAATAGCATTTTTAGTAAATACAGTTAAAACAAAAAGACAAAAACTTATATAAATCTTTATTTAGTAATATATTTTAGTAATATAGAGATTTGGGTAGGACCAACCCGCCAAAAGGGTCAATTGTTAATTCAAACCAACCCTTTTAAAATTATATATAAAAGATTAATATTTACTAACAACTCATTTCATATTGTAAATAAAGTTTTTATGGACAACAATTTCCATTTGAGAAACTAAAGAATTGAAAATTTTCTTTACTGACAAAGAAAATCACAATGAAAGTCACAACTCACAAGAGAACAACAAAATAAATCTCGACACAAATTTCAGAACTCCATTAGAGAGAGATCTTAATTGATGACAAAAAAAAAGAGATTCTTCTTAACAGTAAGACTCAGTAGGTCTCTTTTTCTCAATTATCCTTTTTCTACTAAACCAAGTCCACCATGTAGACATTCACATCCTCAGCTCACTTCCATGATGAGTGCAGAATCCTAAACGAAGATCAATCTATGGCTCGCTAAGTACTGAATATGAGAAAGGTGACAAAAAAAAAATGAGTGATTTGCTTGCATTGTACGTTCAGATATAGTCCAAAGGTCCTTCTATTGTACGTTCACATGCAATGACATTTCTTGTAAACTCCAAAAGCATGAACTAACCTAAACACCCTTAGGAAAATTCTGCAAATATGTCTCAGTACTGTCACCGATTCTTTTGTTCATCTTTTGGTATGACTTCTAGACTTATATATTTCTCATTTTATGGAATGAATCATGACCACCAAGGGCGAGAAAATCTTGCAACAAAACCCAATGCTCAACATTTATACTATAATAAAACAACCAATATCAATCATGAATCATGAAATCATATATAAAATGAAACCACTAAACTAAACTATTGTTAGTTGAAAATCAATATTTATACTATAATAAAATGAAAAAATTCTGAAAAAACCAAACCTCAACAAAATCACTAAGAAAATCCGGCAAAGCTCTTGCCCTTTTTATGTGTTAATGATGATCCACTTCCCTTGTCTACATTCTTGATTGAACAGAGTATGGCTCACTTGAAAAAACCTTCACCCTAGTTGAAGAAGCATGATCCCATAAAGACATAAAAATCAATTGAGTTAGTTAAAACCTCAACTCTGGTTCTATAAATGGTAAGCAATATCAAAAGTTTTTGGCTAAACGAAAAGAAGTTATTTTTTTTTGAAAATATGGTCTATGGATCTCTATTATTAATGTACCTAATATCTAAGAAATGTTACATTACCTCTGGCAAACAATTACGAACCATGACTTCACCAAATTCACCTTTCAAGAACGACCAACCGCTGCATGCTCTTCCATTCTCTTTAGGTCAGATTCTCCATTCTAAAAATTATAACAAACCAGCAAAATATGAAAATCATATCTAAACAATAATCACAGTTATAGACAATCTCAGTGTGAAATACAAAGAACGATAAAATATATTGACGATATCAGAGGCAAAACTAACAGTTTACAGTACACGACCTTGATGTTTTCGCAAAAAAAAAGTGTAGGTTGATGTGAGTCAAGTCTAATGATTTGAGAAAACACAGACGATATGCCCTATATCTATACTGGTAGGTTACATTTTCACAAATTTAGGGTTGCCACAAAGTATATTCGGTAAAATATTCTAGAAAATGAAATCTAAACAAAATAAGATTATTCTAGAAAATAAAATCTAAACAAAAAAAAGATTACGATGGCAATAAATGAAAAAAATTCGCATAGTA